TCTCTCTCTCTCTCTCTCTCTCTCTCTCTCTCTCTCTCGGTGAGTACCGTGTGTTGCCGTGTTACCTTGCTCCGTGTTTGGCGAACTCCACCTCTGCCGTAAGCTGCCTTTGGGCTGTTTTTGTTACAGGACAGAGCAGGTCTATTGTTGCTTGTCAGGATAGATATTGCATCTTCCTTTCCTTGCAACTGCTGTCCTGGATATCTCGAGGTATAGTGTCGCTGCTTTTTCTAACCTCACTTTTACCTCATCGATCTGGATCGACGTGACTCTTGCTGCGCATGCTCCTGCTTTTCTCAGTTCTGCACATTTCTATCTCTGCACCTGGATTCATGCATGAGTTACCATCTGCGAACATCAAGTCATTCTGCAGTCTTTTACCATCCGAGGGCTTCTAATTATACTAATACCATCTCGACAATCTTGTATCATCTGTGGGCTCTTGAGTGTACTATTACCATCTGGATTGTAGTACTGCATCTTTTTGGTTTGGCTCCTTACTTTCTCGTTGTACTATGCAGCGTGTTATACCTGAGTGCTACAGGTGCAAGAAATCGATTGCGAATGCATTGGTTGAGTGTGAATGCAAAAAACAATTCCATCCCGGTTGCGTCAAGCCGTATTCTGTGACAAAATACGCGGACCATTGCTGCAAAGCTCTGGTGAAGCACTATGACACTCCGCTTACGCCGCAGGCCGAAAACAATTTTAATCTAGACATTATGACTACTCCTGTAAGTACCGGTGCTCAGGCACAGTCTCAATTACAGTCTCAAGGAGATATTAATTCACACGACCTTTTACTTCGAATATCTCAACAATTGACTGAGCAAATGAAGGTGTCAAATTCGAGATTTTCTGCTTTTGCTGAGGAAACGAATTCGAGATTTAATGCTTTCGTCGAAGAGCAGCGGCGCACGAATAATGAACTGAATGACAAGCTTGACAGACTAAACAGCATTGCGAGCGGTGTCGAGCGGAACAGTCAGCGGATTGTTGAGTTGGAGCAACAGTGTAGTGCTCTTGCGGATGAGATTCGTAATTTAAAGAGCAACCGTGCCGGCTCTCACTCTGCTACGCGAGCTCAGTCTGAGAATGAGTTAATTATCTCAGGTGTTCCTACCGCGATGTCTGTTACCCCCTTGGAGTGCGTTCGAAATGTATTTGCGACATTAGAAATCCCTGAGCTGTCGTGCCACGTTCTTAACGTTAGGGCCGTCGCTCGTAAGCCTCTGCCGCCGGTGGCTGGTGACCGATTGTTACCGACTTCTACCACGAGCTCTTATATTGTTACATTAGCTTCGGGCGCGGTACGTGACACTGTTATGTCCAAAAAACGGGCACGGCGTGTGCTTACGCAAAGGGAGGTCTGTGGTGGCAGCTCGGATCGGAACGTGCATGTCAATGAACTGCTCCCTAAGGACACTTATGAATTGTTGCAGCACACGAAGCGTGTTGCTAAGGACAAGTCCTATCAGTATGTCTGGGTAAGGGGAGGTCGCATCCATGTGAGGCACTCGGATGGTGAGCCTGCAATTAAGATCGATTCAGCTGCAGACATTGATAAGCTCGTCTGACGTGCCCGTTCCGATCACTCATTGCCTTCCGTCCTGCATCGTGGCTCTATTTCGCGGTCCACTCAGTTTCACGTAGCTCAGTTTAATGCAAACTCTCTGCGGGCACATATTGATTATATCAGACTGTATTTCTCCACTAGTTTTTATCACATTATTTCAGTTTCTGAAACGTGGCTCAATGAGAGCATCTCAGATGTGACAGTGGCCCTAACTGACTACTTTTTGATTCGTCATGATAGAGTGGGACGGATGGGTGGTGGAGTGGCATGTTATGTGCATAAATCGCTCAAGGTTAAGATTATAGCTACCTCTGATAATGCCTGTGATAATCTACCTGAATATCTTCTCATCGAAGTACGTCTGTTAGATGGAGAATCGGTTTTATTTGCGTCCATTTATAGAAGACCTAAAGGTCTCCTCTTGTGCAATTTCGTTGAGTCATTGAGCCGATTCTCTCATCTCTATAAAAATATTATTATTGGTGGCGATCTTAATTGTAATCTATTATCGACTAATTTTGAAGCGCGTTATTTGCGTGAACTCATGTCCAGCTTATCACTACATATTGTGAACTCTGAATCAACTTATCATACGGCAACCTCAGACTCATGGCTTGATGTGTTGGTGGTAGATGACCTTGAAAAAGTGTTATCATTTACTAAATCTCAGAGTCCTTTTATTGCTGGACATGATGTCATTGCACTGTCTATGTTGCTTAACTGTGATCCGATAACTGAGCGTTCTATATCACGGCGAAATTACAGAGGCAATGACTGTTCGGTGTTCTCTGAACATCTTGGATCCATCGCTAGCTCTGTGCGGTCTGAAATTGATGAGGTGATTAATGACGCGAACGTTGACAGATTCTGTGAGGTGCTATCCGGTAACCTGCTAAGGGCACTGGATACATTTGCCCCGATTCGTGTATTTACAATCAGGAAGCCTCCAGTGCGGTGGCTCACCGATGATCTCAAGACCCGGATGCGTGTTTGCAACCAATTATATAAGCAGGCTAAGCGTTCTGGCAGTTTACTTGGCTACAACACCTATAGACTTTTTCGCAACCAACTGAATGCCGACATTAAACGTGCCAAAAGCAAATTTCAATTTGATTCTTTTAAAAACATTACTGATCCAGCAAAACTTTGGAGAGAGTTGGCTCGCCTTGGTCTTGTAAAATCAACCTTGGTTTCTCCTCTACATTTTTTCACACCAGATCAATTAAATTCTTTTTACATTTCAGTTTCTGCTGATTTGTTACCTTGCTCATACACTGATTTTATTTTTGCTATAGACCAGGTAGTTTGTCCATCCCATCGTCCGGAGTTTGTTTTCTCCACTATAACGCCAGATATGGTCCATAGACTCATTTCTGTGGGACCTCTTCATTCTTATGCGTCAGGGTCAGACGGCATACCTCTCTATATTTTGCGAATAGCTTGGCCTACAATTTCATCGTGTCTAACTACCTTATTCAACCGTTCATTGGAAACTTCCTCATTTCCATCTCAGTGGAAGCAGGCACTTATCCGTCCTCTCTCTAAGATCCGTATTCCTTCATCTCCGTCTGATACGCGACCAATAGCTAATCTGCCTGAATTGTCTAAAATTCTTGAGAGGATTGTTGCCACGCAGATCATGGACTATTTAATCAAGCATGATCTTATAAATCCAAGACAATCCGCATATCGTCCAAGTCACAGCACTCAGTCGGCACTTCTGCGTGTTAGTGATGACATTAAGAAGGCGATTGACAGTGGGCTGGTAATGATCATGGTCCTTTTTGATTTCAGTAAGGCGTTTGACACAGTCCCGCATCTTCAACTTCTGATTAAACTGAAAGAGTTAGGTTTTTCTGACCTTGTTCTCATGTGGATCTATTCATACTTAACGGGTCGTTCTCAGTCTGTGATCGATGATGCAGGTAATCTCTCGTCGTGGCTACCTACGTTATGTGGTGTACCTCAGGGTTCTGTGCTGGGTCCACCTTTATTTTCCTTGTACATTAATGATATAAGTAAGGTCTTGTTATATACCGAACACATGATGTTTGCCGATGACATCCAGATTTATCGTGCGTGTCCACCTTCCGACATTCTTCACAATCTTAACTTAATCTCTGTGGACGCTAATGCTATTTTCAATTATGCATCGGCAAACGGTCTGAAACTTAACCCTGCCAAATCTAAGGTTATAATATTTGGCAGTAGTAGAAATGTCAACAACTTTGATTTCAACCTTCTTCCTCCTATAATGGTTAACAACATACAAATACCATTTGTTAGTGAGGTGAGAAATCTTGGTGTTTGGTTTGAATCTAATCTCTCTTGGAGGAAGCATGTCATGCATGTTTCGCAAAAAGTTCACTGGGCGTTACACAAGCTGAAATTCAATAAAAATTCTCTCTCTACTGAGCTGAGGATTAAGCTTGTGACGACGTTAATTCTACCCCATTTAGATTATTGTTGCCTAGTCTATCATGGCTTGAGTGATGAACTGAACACCAGATTACAGAGACTAGTGAACTGCTGCATCAGATTCATATATAACTTGCGGCGGGATGAGCATATTACTCAGTATAGGCGTCGCTTGGGATGGCTTTTGGTGGATAACAGAAGGCGGTACTTTCTCGGGTGTCAAATGTACCGGATACTCTATTTGTCTTCACCTTTGTACTTAAGTGAACTTTTCACTCCACTTGACCCATTACTCAGAAGATCTGACCGACTTGCTGCTTTGTCTCCTCAAATCTTTCATATTCCTCCTCACAGAACGGTCACCTATAGAAATTCCTTCCAACTTTCTTCCATATATTTTTGGCATTCTCTTCCCGATGAAATTACATCTGCATCTTCTCTTGCATTATTCAAAAGCCTTCTTCGTGAGTATTTGCTTTCGTCTGAATCTGAGTAATGGGTCCTTTGGACTTTTGTTCTTGTGAATCTCTTAGTTTTAAGTTGCGTTAATTTTTAAGGCGAGTTAGTTGTAAGTTAGTTTTAAGTGTGTATTGTTTGGGAGAGAGCATGAACATGAACAGGTTCTATTTACATGTATTCAATGCATATTGTATTGATTCTTTGCCCTTTAGCTATTGCTTGGGCATAATAAAATCAATCAATCAATCAATCAATCAATCTCTCTCTCTCTCTCTCTCTCTCTCTCTCTCTCTCTCTCTCTCTCTCTCTCTGTGCGGAGTGTCAGCGTGTGTTTCACCCGGGCTGCGTAAAAGCGTATCTCGTCACTAGGGCGGCCAGTGATTGCTGTAAGTCAGGGCTGTCGACCATGCCGCTTACGCCCAGGGATGCGCATGGATCTCGCGGCACTGCATCTCCGGGTGCGGGGGGTATCGCCCCCCCTGGCGCGCAATCGTCAACGGATGCATTGTTGCAGTCGATCCTGCGGAAACTCGAAGAATCTGACAAAAAATTCACGGCTAGGTTTGACGAGTCCGATAGGAGGATCACTGCTTTCATCGAGCTTCAGGAGTCCGTGAATGCTGACTTTGCGCGTAAACTTGATCAATTACCCGTTCTTGTAAAATCTGTATCTGATCAAGGAGAGAGAATTGCGGCGTTGGAGGCTGGGGGCGTGCATTTGTGTGGCTCTCAGCGGTCAGGCCACGGTTCGTCTGCGGCATCGCGTGTCTCTCGAACGTCTGACATCATAATCTCGGGCATTCCAGGCTACTTCACGGAAAAGTCGAGTGAGCTTGTTAAAAGCGTTTTTCTTGCCCTTGATATTGCTCGACTTTCTGCGGACGTTCTTGAGACCCGTGATGTCGTGGCGGGCGCGTCTGCGGCGCTTGGCGACGGGCCGGCCTCCACTTCTATCCCCGATTCTCATGGCCGCGGCGCAAAAAAATCAATCATTGTTGTACTCAAGTCGCGTGAGGTTCGCGACTATATTCTGCGGGTCATGCGTCGGAGGAGTGGTTTATCCATTGAGGAAGTTTTCTTTAAAAACATTCCTGGTAAAATATTTATTAATGAACTCCTTCCTACTGACATGTATAAATTGTTGCGCCGGGCCAGAGTCAAGGCTAAGCAATCTGCTTTTAAGTATGTGTGGAGCAGGGACGGCCAAATTTTTGTTCGTAGGGACCAGGGTCAGCCTCCTATACTTATAACTTCTGAGTCCGATCTGGCAGAACTTCACTGACCGGAGGTGGTGGATGCGGGCCCTGGTCCTGCTGTGGCTTCGCGCGGTCGCCTTAGAATTGCTCATTTTAACGCCAGCTCCCTTCCTGCCCATCTCGAGTTTATCCAGGTCTTTTTAGCGTCTAACTTCTTTCACATCATTTCTATCTCTGAGACCTGGCTTCACTCGCATATTTCGGATGATTTAGTGAGAATCAACGGTTATTATTTGTTACGCGCGGATAGGGAGGGCAGGCAGGGGGGTGGCGTGGCGTGTTATATACATGAATCGCTGAGGGCGCGTGTTCTTGCGTCATCGCCTTCCGCCTTCTCGAATGCACCGGAGTACCTTGTTCTTGATATTCGGGATGGCACACGCGAGCCTCTCTTGCTTACCACCATGTATCGTAGACCGAGGGGTAGGAATTTTAACGATTATGTCGACGTGCTAACTCGAGTTTCTCATAGTTATAAAAACATCATTGTTACCGGTGACTTGAACTGTAATCTCCTTACCTCAACATATGAATCAAATCACCTACGTGACATGGTTTCTCAATTGTCTCTTAACATAGTCGAATCGCAGCCGACCTTTCACACTGGTTTCTCTGACTCATGGCTTGACGTCTTTATTGTTGATAGCTTAGACAAGGTATTGTCATTCAGTAAGTCCGATGCTCCCTTCATCAATGGCCATGACCTCATTGAATTAACTTATTCATTCGAGGTTCCGTCGTTCTCAGATAGAACCTTGGTTCGGCGTAGCTATAGGAACTTTCAAGGAGAAGAATTTATCGGAATACTCATCTCCAAATTGTCATCATCGTTTGCGCATGATATAAGCCAAATGAGTGTTGGCGAGGC